CTGAATGGGAGAAGATATTTATTTATGACATATCTGATAAGGGGTTAATATCCAAAATCTATAAAGAACTCATATAACTCAATAACAACAAGAGAAAAAGAAAAACAATCCGATTAAAAAATGGGCAGAAGTCCTGAACAGATATTTCTCTAAAGAGGAAATACAGATGGCCAATCGACATATGAAAAGATGCTCAAGGTCACTAATCATCAGAGAAATGCAAATTAAAATCTCAGTGAGATATCACCTCACACCTGTCAGAATGGCTATCAACAATAAATCAAAGAACAAGTGTTGGTGAGGATGTGGAGAAAAGGGAACCTTCATATACTGTTGGTGAGATGGTAAATTGGTACAGCTGCTATGGAAAACAGTTTCTCAAAAAATTAAAAATGGCTCTACCTTTTGACCCAGCAATCACACTTCTGGGTATTTATCCAAAGAAAACCAAAACAACAATTCTTAAAGATTTATGCACCCCTATCTTCACTGCAGCGCTTTTCACAATAGCCAAGATATGGAAGCAACCTAAGTGTCCATCAATATGCGATTGGATAAAGAAGTTATACAATGGAATATTACTTCAGACATAAAAAAAGAGAAATCTTACCATTTTCAATGATATGGTTGCACCTAGAGGATATTATGTTGAGTGAAACAAGTCAGACAGAGAAAGACAAATACCATATGATTTCACTTATATGTGGAAACTAAGATACAAAAGAAACTAAAGGAAAACAGATTCACAGATACAGAGAACAATCTGGTGATTGCCAGAGGGGAGGGGAGTTGGGGAGCTGGGTGAAAAAGGTGAAGAGATGAAGAAGTACAAATTAGTAGTTACAAAACAGTAATGGGGATGTAGAGTACGGCATGGGGAATACCATCAATAATATTATAATAACTATGTAGAGTGCCAGGTGGGTACTGGACTTATCAGGGGGATCACTTTTATAAGTTATATAATGTCTAACCACTGTACTGTATACTTGAAAGTAATTAAAAACAGAATGCCCTTACATATAAAATCAGCATGAGAATAACAAAATAAAAATATGCATTACATCTTAAGAAAAAAATAGATGCTATTTATATAAAATTATAAACAAGGTGTTCAGAAGGATGTTCACCAAAAAGTTAACAATACTTATTAAGGAGGTTTAGGGTAATTTGTTTTTTCTTACTTTGTACTTTACCGTATCATCTGACCTTTTCATAATATTCAAGTATTATTTTTCACATAATTATTTTAAAAGATAACCCTCATATGGAAAGGCATCCTGTGTTTGTGGATTGGAAGACAACATTGTTAAGATGGCAATAGTACCCAAAGTGATCTACAAATGCAGTGCAACCACTTTTCAAAATCCCAGTGGCATTTTTTTTTTTTGCAGAAAAACCCATCCTAAAATTAACATGGACTCTCAAGGGACTCCAATAGTCAAAACAATTGTGAAAAAGAAAATAAATTTTTTAAATTTATTGCCACTGGGATTTTGAAAAGTGGTTGCACTTTTTTAAAAAGTAAATTTTTTAAATTTATTTTCTTTTTCATAATTGTTTAGACTATCACAATTCCTGATTTCAAACTTACTAAAAAGCTACAGTAACCAAAACAGTGTGGTAGTGGCATAAAGACAGATATTATAGACCAATGGAATAGAGAGCCCCCAAATAAAGCCTCATATACATGGTCTATTAATTTTTTTCTTGGCTTTATTGAAGTACACAATTAGTTGCTTATTTTTACATTGCATAATTCAATGAGGTTTTTTTTTCAGTTATAGTTGGCATACAATAATCTATTAGTTTCAGTTGTACAGCATAGTGATTAGAAATCTATATAACTCACAAAGTGATCATCCCACTAACTCAGTTACCCTTCTTCTCCTTTACATATTTATTGCAACATTGTTAACTATTTTCCTTATGCTACACTTTACATCTCCATGTCTATTTTGTAACTATCCATTTGTACTTCTTAATCCCTTTGCCCTTTTACATTGTCCCCCTAACCAGCCTCCCATCTAGCAGCCCTCAAAATATTCTCTGTATCTATGAGTTTGTTTTCATTGTTGTTGTTGTTTATTTCATTCTTTAGATTCCACATGTACATGAAATCATGTGGCATTTGTCTTTATCTTATGTGATATTTGTCTTTATCGGACCCATTTCTTTCTGCGCAATACCCTCTAGGTCCATCAAGGCCATATCATTTTCCATCCCCTTTGTATTAGTCTGAGTGTGTCTTTCAATCTGAAGTGAGTCTCTTGTAGGCAGCATATGTAGGGATCTTGTTTTCTTATCCATTCAGCTACTCTATCTTGTGGTTGTATCATTTAATTCTTTTCCACTTGAGGTATTTGTTGATAGAAATGCAGTTGTTACTATTCTTTTTTTTTAAATTAAGTTTATTGGAGTAACATTGGTAAATACAATTATATAATTTTCAGGTGTACATTACCATTTGACATCAGTATATTCTATTGTGTGTTTACCACCCAAAGTTCAGTTTCCTTCAGCTACCATATATTTGACCCCCTTTACCCACTTCAACCTCACCCTACTCTCCTATATTTGACCTCCTTTAACCTATTAACTAAACCCTCTTCGCATCATATGTAGGGCCTTGTTTTCTTATGTATTCAACCATCCTATCCTTTAGTAGGAGGACTTAATTCTTTTTCGTTTGAGGTACTCATTGATAGACATGTAGTTATTACCATTTTTTATTCATTATTTTGAGACATGTTCTTTCTTCTTAAAAAAGTCCCTCCAACATTTCCTCTAATAGTAGCTTGGTGGTGGTGAATTCCTTTAGCTTATTTTTGTCTGAGAAAATCTTTTTCTATCCTTCGACTAAATGATAGCTTTGCCGGATAGGTATTCTTGGTTGTAGATCCTGAGTTTTCATCACTTTGAATATTTTGTGCCAAGACCTTCTGTCTTGCATAGTTTCTTTTGAGAAATCAGCTGTCAGTCTTATCAGTGCTCCCTTGTAGGTAACTGCTTTTCTCTTGCTGCTTTTAAGATTCTTTGTATTTAGCCTTTGGCATTTTAATTATAATACGTCTTGGTGTGGGCCTCTTTGACTTCATCTTTTCTGGGACTCTCCGAGCTTCCTGGGGTTTTATATCTATTTCCTTCACTAGGTTAGGGAATTTTTCAATCATTATTTCTTCAAATAGCTCTTAAATTTCTTGTTCCCCTTCAGGTACTCCTTATGTTTTTACATTTAATTTTGTCCCATAGGCTCCTTAAATTATTATTATAGTCTTGGCTTCCTTTTTCTCACCATTCTGATTGGGTGTCCTTGGCTTCCTCATTTTCTATACCACTGGTTCAATCCTCTTCTTTATATACTCTGTTGTTTCCCTCTAATATGTTCTTCATCTCAGATAATGTGTTCTTCATTTCTGACTAGTTTCCTTTTATAATTTCCATTTTTATGTTTTTTATCTCTTTGTTGAAGTTCTCACTGAGTTCATCTACACGTCCTTAAATTCATTGAACATCTTTATAACCAGTGTTTTGAACTCTGCATCTGTTATATTGCTTGACTCTATTATTCCTGGATTTCTGTTCTGTTCTCTCATATTTCTGCTTCTTTCTCTTCCCATTTTGGCTGCCTTTCTGTGTCTTTTTCTATGTACTAAGCAAAGCTCCTAAGTCTCCCAATCTTATCAGCATGGCTTTGTGTAGTAGGTGTCCAGTGGCACAGTCCTGAGAGGGGTTCAGCTGCAGGCCAGGTCTAGCCTCAGCCTATGTCTCTCCAGTGCCACCTGTTAAGATTCAGCAAGCACCCACAGATTCTGTGCTTATAGTTGTCTCAAGAAACCATGCCAGAAACTGAGGCTAGCTGCCACTACTAGTATGGGTCTTGGGGTTGGTTCAGTAAGGGGCACCGGACTGAGGACACACCTGATTGTGGCTTGGGTGGGGCCGCAAGTTTGGGGAGGCGGAGTTTCAGGGAATCTTCTGGGCAGAGTGACCTCTGTTATCCAGTTTGATGATGTCTTAGCTATGGCGGCGCTGTTTCAGCGCGCTGGGACGGGGGAAGGTTCCACAGAGGAAGAATGGATACCACCAGCACTTCAGCCCAGGAGAAAGCCTTGCCTCTGGCCCTCTCTCCAATAACTCAGTGTCTCCCTGTAAGTCCTTGGTGCCCCCCGAGCAGCCGACCTGGCCCTGGTGCTCAGAGCGAGCAGGTCTGTCACCACAAAAATCTGCTCATGGATACAGCTCCTTTAAGAGGTGTCTGCAGCTGCCAGCTGCCACAGCCTCTGTCCCATTCAGCCACTGGGGACTGGCAGCCTCGCCTCTTCACTCCTTCCTACCTTCTACCATTGCAGGTTGATTAATTATTTCTCTACCTAGTTGTAGTGCTTCTGTTAATCTAGATTCCAGGCGACTTTGCTTGCTGCTTGTTCCATGTGTCTGTCACAACTTTGATATGGTCGTCAGAGGGATGAACAAAGCCTCTATCATCTATGCCATTTTTAGGTGTCTCCTATTAATTTTTGACAAGGGTGCCAAATCATTCAACAGAGAAAGGATGGTCTTTGCAACAAATGGTGCATAGAAAACTGAACATCCACACACAAAATAATAAAGTTTTACTCTTTCCTTAAACCACATACACAAATTAACTCAAAATTCATGAAATACCTAAAGATCTAAAAGTATAAAACTCTTAGAAGAAAACATAGGGCAAAAGCTTCATGACATTGGGTGTGGCAATGATTTTTTGGATATGCTACCAAAGCAGAGATAACAAAAGAAAAATCAGATAAATTGGACTTCATAAAAATTTAAAACGTTTGTGCATCAAAAGACACTATCAAAAGAGTGAAAGACAATCACAGAATTGGAGATGTTTGAAAATCATATATTTGATAAGGAATTAATAGCCAGAATATATAAAGAACTCTTACAACTCAACGATAATAACAACAAAAGAAACGACTCAATTAAAATACAGGCAAAGGACTTGAATAGATATTTCTCCAAAGAAGAGATATAAATGGTCAATAGGCACATGAAAAGAAGTTTAACATCATTTGTCATTAGGTAAATGCAAATCAAAACCACAATGACCTACCACTTTGCTCTCATTAGGATAACCATTATTTTAAAATATGGAAAATATCAAGTGTTGGTGAGAATATGGAGAAATTGGAACCTTCATACATTAATGGTGGAAATGTAAAATGGTGCAGACTCTGTGGGAAACAATTTGTTCAGTTCCTCAAAAAGTTAAATATTAGATTAACATATGACCCAGCAATCCCACTTCTAGGTACATACTCAAAGGTATTGAAAGCAGGGATTCAAACAGATACTTATACACAAATGTTCACAGCAGCAGTATTCTCAATAGCCAAAAGGTGGAAACAACTCAAATGTCCATCACCAAGATGAATGGATAAAAAAAACAAAAAACAAAAAACAAACGTGTGGTATATACATATAATGGACTATTATTCAGCCATAAAAAGAATAGAGTTCTGACACACGTTACAACATAAACGAATCTTAAAAACATTATGCTAACTGAAATAAGCCAAACCCAATAGAAAAAATATTGTATGATTCTACTTGTATGAGGTACCTAGAATAGTCAAATTCATAGAGACTGTAAGTAGAATAGAGGTTACAGGATATAGAGGTTAAAATGGGGGAGTTATTGCTAAATGGGTACAGATTTTCTGTTTGACATGATAAAAAGTTTTGGAAATGGAAAGTTATTATAGTTAACATTGCGAATGTACTTAATGCCACTAAATTGCACTCTTAAAATGGTTAATAAAAACCCATAGTCCAAATACAGCCTGGCATTCTTAAAAGTATATTTCACACATAATGAGGTATCTAGTATAGTGCTAGGCAAATATGCTGCTAATTATTATGAGGAACATGAAATATGCAGATGAGCCTTCCCTAAAGAGACCTAGTATCACATTTGAGAGACCAGCTTTATGTACATTAAGTCAGTGCTCTCCAAAGTAAACTCAATTATAGCAAAGGGGGTATAAAAGATGATCCACTGAGAAACAAAAAGAAAAAAATAGAAATTCAATTTTTGCATTTAAAAAATATAAGACAGTAAGAAATGAAGGCTTGCCGATATTAGACATACAGATTGACACAGGTGCCCTCAGTCAGCCCATAGAGTCCAAAGATCTTATGAGAGAAGAGCAATTTTTTTTTTGTCTTTAGCTAAATAGAACTAATTGCATTCACCTGAGCCAAGTTATGTGGCCATATGGATATATTATCTACTTTTAACTAAACTAATTTCCACAAAATTGACAAGTGCCTTAACAAGATTCTTACAAAGAAATTTTGGACAAGTCTAAGCAAATATCAGGGAAATGGCAAAGGTGAAACTTGTGCTATCCCTACTATAGCTCATCATCTGCTACATTACTATGAAAACACAATGCTGAGCTAATCAGCTCTGTCAGGGATCTGGCTAAAACAATTTTAAATCATGAAGATTATTGGAAATATGAATTCACATTCACTCTCCTTGCCCAGGGGCCATGCTAATGTTCTCTGTATCATTCCAATTTTAGTATACGTGCTGCCTATATATACTAAGTGAGCACTGCATTCACTTTTCAATCTATAGTTAACAAAATTTAAAATTTTCTAAAAATATTTCATTTTTAACTCATTCTTTTTATATTTCTATTTTGTGTATATTCTATGATTCATGTTATATACCAGCACAGTAGTAGATGTTCATAATGTATATTCGACAAGCATGTATTAGAAGTATGTGCTCAAACCTTTTTTACCGATGCAGTATGTAATCAAAAGAGGTTAAATATTACTGTATATAGTATAGATAATAAATGTTATTGGTGGTCTGTAATAGAAGACTGGTATGAGTTGTGTGAATTAAATTTTGGCCTAGGCCTTGAAAGATGTTTAAAATATGGACAAGCAGAGATGTTTAAAATATGGAGGGGAGGATATTACAAACAAAAGGAATCATATAAACAAAAATTTAGAGGAGGAAAAAGTATGGCAGGTTTGCAGGTAGTGACTAGCTCGACTGAAACAGTTTGTGCTATGAATAGCGATAAAACTAGAGAGGTAAAACAGGGCCAGATTTATAGAATCTTAAATAATTGAAGAATTTGAGTTTTGGCAGAATAGCATAGCTGTTAGAATCACAGGCTTTAGAGCCAAACAAAACTGAGTCAAATCCCAGCTCTGTAACATTACTTGTGAAACCTTAGGCAGGCGACTTAACCTGAGCCTCAGTTTCTTTATCAATATGAAGATGATGGTAATAATGAGGATAACAAGGTTGTTGTAGAGTTATCACACTGCCTGGCAACCTATGTTAGTACTCAATACAACCTAGCTATAAGTAATTAGAAGCCATTGTAACTTTTTGCACAGGAGAGAAAAAGGTGAAAATGATGTTTTAGAAAAGTAATTTGGTATTGGTTATGGAAGTAGGATTATACCAGCAGAGATGGGGAATCTATTAGAATATTATTAGAGTCATATGAACACAAGGGACAGAAGGAAGTAGCAGTGGGAACAGAGAGGATGTTTTCAAGGAAGAATTAATAAGATTAGATGCCTAATTAGATACAGTAGAAAAATAAGGAAGAATTGAAGATGTCCCTAGAGCTTTGAGTCTTAAAATTGTGTGACTGTGACTGTTTTGATGCCATTACAGAAAATGAGGGAAATTGAGAAAGATAGCTTAATAAATTAATCAGCCTCTTAAAAATTGATTACATTTATTAAGGTAACGCTGGTTAATAACATTATATGTTTCAGATGTACAATTCTATAATGTGTCGTCTGTATATTGCATTCTGTGCTCACCACCGAGAGTCTAGTCTCTTTCCGTCACCATGTATGACTCCCTTTACCCTCTTCATCCTCTCCCCACACCCTTGGGCAACCACTGTTCTGTTGTGTCTATGACTTTGTTTTTGTTTGTTCGTCTGTTGCTTTTCGTATTATATCCCACATATGAGTGAAATCATATGGTTCTTATCCTTTTCCATCTGACTTATTCCACTTAGCATAATACTCTCAAGATCCAATGTACCACATCTTCTTTATCCAATCATCTGTCAAAGGACACTTAGGTTGTTTCTATGTCTTGGCTTTTGTGACTAATGTAGCAATGAACATAGGGGTACATATATCTCTATGAATAAGTGTTTTCAAATTTTTCAGGTAAATACCGAGAAGACAGATTGCTGGGTTATATGGTAGCTCTACTCACTTTTTTGAGGAACCTCTAATCAGTCTTTTAAAACAATGGAATAACAGTACATCTTTTTAGCAAAATGTAATTGTTAGCATAGTTCTTCCATTTAATATTTATGTAGATGTTTTCTTCTAGTGAGAAGCTCAAAGTAATTTGTAATTCAATCAATCAACAACTAAAGGACAAGTTATCCCAGAACTAGGACAGAATTTTGCTTATTGTACCTCCCATTGAAAGTTGAGAGATTAGCCATCATCAGCTATTTCGAGGGTCATTAGTAAAAGTGGGTTGACCTTTCTATCATTTATATTTTGCCTATTTCCAAAATGAATATGAGATGGCTTACAATGAAACAAGATTGTTAAAATAAGGATAAAAGGTCAAGAACCATATATCTGTCAAGGGCAAAGAGTACTAGATGCCAGAAACCTAAGTTAAGGAGAGTTGCTGCATTTGAGCACCAAACTTAGCTTCCAACTTTTTAGTACTCAAGGGGAAAATTGAAATAGTAAGTTGCCCACCTTTGCTTTATGAAGGAGAGTATGCCTGAAAGCTTTTAGTTACCTAGTGTTGCCAGAGTGCTCAATACATGCTGGTTGAAAGAACAAAACAGTTTGTAAACTAAGATCAAATTTAATTTCTTTTAAAATAAGCTAGTCTATTCCCTTAAAGAATGTCTCTTCATAAAAGAGGCTAGGTACTTAGTAGGTTCCAAGGAAAACTCAAAAACATATCACAAAAATATAATGTCATTGCTTTACTAGACTAAAAAATGGGAGCAAAATCCATGACAGATTAACTGTGAAACCTGGCCAGTAGAAGAAAAAGCTCATCCTATGTAACAGATGATCTCTAAATTGTCCCTATCATAATCATGCCTTGTACTCCAACTGGTATAATCTGTTCTAAATGGCTTCATCTCACAAAGTTCCCTTACATTTGTGTCTAAATCAAGTTTAATTTATTTAAACCAGGTAAGATAAAAAGAAGATGGTAATATGTGTTATTAAAGTTTACATTTGTGAAGATATAAATATAAAGGGTTGTTGAAATAGAAAGATAATATTTAAGTCGAAAATTTTTTAAATCAATTTTACTTAAGACACTACAAAGAAAGTCAAGTTCTTACCAGGTACCAACGATTTTATATCCTATTTAATAAGTCAAGAAATAAATGTGAAATTACAGAAAAATATACAGTGAGCAGACTTGTTATGGGTTGAATTGTGCCCCACCTCCCATCCATTTGTTGATGCCCTAACCTCCAGTGTTTCATAATGTAACTTTATTTGGATATAGGGTTTTTGTAGAGGAAATCAAGTTAGAATGAAGTCATTAGGGTGGACCCTAATCTGACAACGTCCCTATAAAAAGAAGAAATTTGGAGAAAGGCATAGGTACAGGGAAAACCATGTGAATATGATCCATGTGAACATGAATATGGCCATCTATGCGCCAAGTAGAGAAGCTTGGAACAGATCCTTCTCTCATGGCCCTCAGAAGGAAGCAACCTTGCTGACCTCTTGATCTTGGACTTCCAGCCTCCAGAACTGGGAGACAATCATTTCTGTTGTTTAAGCCCCCCAGTTTGTGGTATTTTGTTATGCAACCCTAGCAAATTGATACACAAACAATTTCTGTCAGGCAGTTATTTATGTTTAGAGTTTTAGGAGATATGGAACTAAAAGCCGAGTGCTTTCAAAACTCTTGAAATACTAGCTCAATTGTTACTATGAAAGGAAAAGTATGTAAAAAGAATAATTCCTGAAAACTTAGGAATTACTATGTTTAGAAATTAACATCCATGCTAAATGTTTCACAATATAAAAATATAACAAATCACTATATTGTATACCTTAATCTTACACAGTGGCATATGTCCATTATATCGCAATAAAGCTGGAGGAAAAAAAAATTAAATTCCAGCTTGATGTTTTCAAGCTCTTGAATACCTACAAAACAGCTAACGACCACAGTCTAGAAGATATTGTCCATTAACTGACTAATAGAAAGGGGGCAACTTGAACCATACACTTATTCAAATATTGACCCAGAATCTGACTTGGGGCAGTGTGCTGACTTAAAAACAAAAGCACATTTAATCAAATTAGTTCATAGGAAATACACAGAATAAAAGAACATATTAAATAATACCACATGGAAACAGAATCAGAATGTGGGGATTCTAAGCATAAATGGCCTGGTTTCTTCAATAAATAAGTGACATGGAACAAAAACACAGAAGAGAAAAGCTGTTTTAAATAAAAGAGGCCTAAGAGATCATGGTTGGAACATGTTCGAATCACTAAAAAAGGCATTTTTGAGAATCAGGAAAATTTTAACATGAACAGGTTATTAGATGACATTAAGGAATAACTTATTTTGTTAGATGTACTGATGGTATTGTGATTACGTAAAAAAGAAAGTCCTCAGAGATTCACATTGAGTGTTTATGGGTAAAAAGATATCAGGGATTTACTTTAAAGCACCCTCCTCCCCCTAAAATAGAAGGGGCTATATTAAAAATGATGTATAAAGTGTAGATAACAGTTAAAGCTGGAGATTGAGTACATGGAGGTTATATTTTGTGTCTTTTAAAAATTTTAATGTAGTGTGCCAAGCATTGTGCATATATTAATTCCTTTCATCCTTACTTTCATCCTATTTTACTGAAAAATAAAATAAAATATGAAATGTGACTTTATTAATATTAGAGTGGAAGTTCAGGATGTAATGAGGTGAGAACCAGACATTTCTGTTTTGTACTTTAAAGGTTAAGTTCAATAGCTTAAAAAAAGTCATGATTAAAGAATGCATGTGAAGAAATATGTAACTTAAGATATCTATGAGACCATTACGCTGTTGAAATTAAGCCTTAATTTTCCATGTGATCAGTACCTAGATTGAAAGTTAATGTTATTTCTATTTTCCCATTTCATTCATTTTCTACTTGTGTTTCATTTTAAAGGTTTATAATATATATTCTGTCACTATGGAAATAACTTGCTTTACAATTTATATTACTAACCAGTTAAATTAATCTTGATTTCAAGTTTCATAATCAAATAGCAACATATAATCAATTTTCAATACTGGTCTAATTTAGGGGAAGCAAAAAAACATACTGTACAGATAAACTAGAGGTCACCTTACCTACTAGATTTAGGTCTTTCCATTAAGAATTTCTAAATAGTAACATACTCACAAAGACAAACAGTAAAAGAATGTTTTATCTACTAAAAAGTAAAATAATCTTTTTACCATACTTTCTTGCTAGTGGATGATAACCTGGCCTTAGGGAAGCCATGGTGTGAGGAAGAGAGGCAAAGGAAGCAGGAGTTGGAGTATCAAAAACTAGGGTCACAAGGTACTTTGTTTTGTGCCACTGCGACAGGAAAAGGGTAGCTGGAAAAGAATCCAGTAATTTGGGGTAAATCTTGGTTGGCTCTGATACTAACTCTGGACATCGTGTAAATTACTAAATTTTTCACATCTTTAGTTTCTGAACTAACAAGTTTGTTGTGAGATCAAATGAAATCACAGATGTAAAGTACCTATTATAGTACTAAGTGAATAATAAGTGCTTCATAACAATTAAGACCCCTTGAACAAAAGTCTGCTTGTAGTTGGGTCAAAAAAATCTCACCACCTATACTGGAGTCGTGATTTGATCTTTTGAGTTCTATGGCTAATCCTTGGATGATTAAAAGATTTAATTCTGTATTAGGTTTTTGCTGTTAAACACCTACACACATGCGTATGTGCGTGCACTCACACACACATGCACAAAACCAGTAAGGTACAATGTGTCCCTGAACTCAGATCTCTAAGAAGTGAACGAAACATGATAACATAAAAGGCATTTTATTTTTCAAAAAATTCTTCATCTGAGGGTTTTATAAAACCATGATAACTATGGTTATTATGAATCAAAGACTTAATTTTTATATACAGCATTCTTTTTCTTCGAGAACCTTAAAAGAAGCTAGATTCAATGTAGAAGAGTGTGCAGTCTTTCTGGAAACTTTGATTTATTAAAATAGTTAATAACTCCAATAAAATTAGGACTCTTTAGTTGTTGTTTGTCTTAGAGAAACTATTCCTGGAATTAAAAACTTAATCACATGACCTCACTTAGAATTGCTGAACCATAGGTATTTTCTAAAGAAAAAAAAATGACTTCTTTAAATGAACAGCTGTCAATTTTGAAAGTCTTCTTACCTGTTTGATTTGATGAAGACGACGGATAGAAGTGTGAATGGGAGAAGATGGCAAAATCTGAAATTTAAAATGTAAAAGTCAAGCTTGCTTTAATGTTTCTGATTATATCTAAACATTAATTAAGGCAATATTGAATTATATAAATATTTCTTGCCTAATGCATGCTAGCAACAGTGTTAGTTAAGTTTAATATTTAAAAAAACTCAAAAATACAATTGAATCTTGACAAAATTTATTAATCAAAAGTCTCTATATGTATTGGAACAGAATAAAATAACTGTTAACATAAGATATATGGAGCAGAAGATCAATAGAACATTTTGTTTATCTCTACCTTTCCTTTCCCGAGGAATCAGATCTTAAAATCACCTCATTTTTTTTTTGCCAGTTTTAGCCCATTAGTAAAGCTTAGTGAAAGGCATTACCCAGAAAAAGCTGAAACAGTCATTAAATCAGCAGTTAACTTTCCAAGCATAGAAAAGAAACATAAACAAAATAATTCCATCAATTATCTTGGAATCGAGCTGGGAAAACCAAACTTTCATAATACTTAATGTCTTAAGGCAATCACTTTCAAGTAGTTCAGCATATTTTACTCTTGTTTGCTCAGATGCTTGTTGTCTAGGCAATTTCTCCTTTTCAGGGCTACTTTCTCCTTTTCAGTCTTTTCTCAAGGCTTATGAGGACCCACACAAAAGGGAAATCAAAATAGAAGGGAGTTAAAGCTAAGTGAGAAAATAAGGCTTGAAGATTATCTTTAAAAATCATTTATCCATTCTATCTGTTATCTTGGTTAGTTCTTGGAATGCCAGATAATGTATTAATCTTACTTTCACATTGTATCTTAAGAGCACATTGAGTTGTGCATTCAAAAATATTTAATGAGCTCCTACTACATGCTAAAGTACCATGTCAGGCCCCAAGGATCCAAAGAGAAATAAGACATTTTCCTGTCCTTGAGAATTTCAAAGTCTAGGTAGGCAGAGAGGCATGTTTGGGGAACAGAGAGGTTCAGAGGGGTGGATACTTGGTACATGATAGGCCATGGAAAGAAGCAAATTTGGCTGAAAGCATTTTGTGGATTTTGGACTTTAGCCTTTGAATCCAAGGAAACTTAAAGCATAGGTCTCTCTGAGTTCTTGAACCTCAAAGGTATTTTAAACAAGATCATACCTGTTTTAGAAAGATAACCCTAGCAGCATATGTGGAACAAATTGAGGGTGGAGAGAAGAGAGACTAGAAGTAGGTTCACTGGTGGGCCAGGTAAAAGATGGTGAAGGTCTGAAAAGGGAAGGATGAAGAGGAGGCAGATTGGAGAAATGATCAGAAAGAGTGAAAAGAGCTAAAGACTTGCCTGAGGTTTCTACCTGAAACCTATAGGTGGATGGTGGCCAAAAAAGACAATAAGAGGAGTAAGTTGGTTGGTGGGGAGAAATGAGTGCTCGAAAAATTTGTGTTGAACAAATGAATGTTTTTATGTAGTAGATTGTCTGAATTTTTATTAGGTTTTAAAATATATCATATGACTTTTAAAGGAGCATATTACCTCACTAGTTGTATTTTGCTTAAGAAAGTGTTAATATCAGTTTGATTTTTCTAATCACTTGTTAGAAGGTGGAGGAAGCAGCCAACGTTGTAAAAATAACAACAGAAAATTCATATGCGTATAATTGAAAATTCACTACGTATAAATTATATATATATATAATTACATATATAATTAGTGACAATTGCTTCTTTATAATAATTTGCTACCAGAAAAATAAGACTGTTATGTATTTCAATATTTATTGAGCCCTTATTATATGTAAGGAACTGTTTTTCTGCTCAGAGGGGAAGGAAAGATTAAAAAAAAACAACTAATAAGCCATAGTTATAACTCTCAGAGACTAGACATGAAAACAAATATTATATAAGAGAAAAGGAATGGGACTACATCAAAATAAAAAGTTTTGTACAGCAAAGGAAATCATAAACAAAACAAAAAGACAACCGATTGTTTAGGAGAAGATATTTGCTAATGATACATCTGATAAAGGGTTAATATCCAAAATATATAAAGAACTTATTAAACCCGACAACCAAAAAAAAAACAACCAACCAATTAAAAATGGGCAGACG